TCGTTGTCCCGAAAAACAACCGCTGACCGAGACTCCACACAAAAAACCCAAACAAATATGATGACGTACTGCACCAGGCTCGACACAAGATTGCCTCGGACCACCACAGCAGAGCTGTTCAGTACAAACAGTGACAAGGATTCGGCATAACCTTCAAGATGTATCGGTGTGCCCTCGCCACCAGCCATATGAAACGTGTTGCCCAACACCGCAAAAACAGAGTGCCACGTCACCCTCAGCGCATACTTGACAACTTGAATGGCGCTTGACGATGTCGTCATGGTCTGAAACGCATTGCCACTGAGCACCACCGCAGAGTAGTTGCTGATCGCCAGCTCATTCATCGCAACACACGACGGCTTCCTAAGGCCCAAACCCAGCCGAGGGATCATTCTCGTGACCGTGAAGCGGTTCCCGCTGATCGTGATGTTCGTGCGCGGTGGAAACCCACCCTCCGGGCTGAGCAGCGCGTCACTGAATGTGTTGCCGGTGACGACGATGTTCAGCGACCCCACAGCGGCGTACGCGTTGCCCAACAGCAACAGCACTGCACCTTCCCTCCACGTGCATCCATCGAACGTGACGTTCGCCACGTCGCCCGTCATCGCCCCAATCAGCACCGTCAGGCTCATACCGCCCCCGCTGAACGTCACGTTGCGGTAGCACAGCCACGACAGCCCGCTGCCCACAGACTGCGCAACCTCGGGGTACACCATGTCGCTGATGCACTCACCAATCGGCGGCGGTGGCGGTAGCAGTGGCGACGGCGGTGGTGGCGGTGGTGGCGGCCCAACAGGCACAGGCGCCGGGACACACACATCGCCGTGCCCTCCAGCAGCGCACTGGCACTTGCAGTCAATGACCGCTGTCGTCAGCGGAGCAAAGCAGTCGCCGTCCTTCGTGCAATCCCTACACGCAGCAACCGTCGTCACGTTGGTGATGCCGCTCAGCTCCAGTTCTCCCGTCGTCGTCAAAACTCGTCCAAGAACCGTCAGACACCCAGCAAAGAACCGGTAGCCGGCGTCAGCCTGCGATAGCAGAGGCCTCGACAACCCCGTCGAGCCCATCCTGCAGCCCGTCAGCGTCACCACACTGCTGCTGTCGATGCTCACAAAAGCGGACCCAGTGTCGTGAAACATCGCACCCACTCCCACGTCGTTGTCGCGCCAATCCAGCCAGCTTGACCGCTGGACGGTCCACAAGTCTTCTGCGTAGATGGCGCAGGCCACGATACCGCTGTTCCCCACCACGCGCAACACGCTATGTTCCGACACGCTGAATCTGTGGTGCTGGTACAGGAGGCTTGTCGCAGAGGACATTGTATTGTTGAGCAGCGCAAAAACGGAGCGGTCACTCACACTGAGCCTGTACACGTAAAACAGGTGTTCGTACCCATCAAGACTGCAGTAACGCGCATACAGCGAGCTGCCACCCACCAGTGTCAGCGTCCCGAAAGAGTACAAACCAAACTCACCGTACCTCAACGCATGCGCCTTGACGTTGCTGACCAACAACGAGGATGCAGTCAACACAACGTCGTGCAGCGTCACTACGCTCAACCTTTTGCTCACAGTGTCGTGCCAAAAAATGGTAGAAAACTGCACCGCGTCAACCTCCGTGACGGCGATATCGCAGTGTTGCGGGAGGGCGAATGCAAACACAACAACGGAGGACCGCATCACCGTCTGGCTCACGCGGATAAGGACGCCGGATGACTCGGCCGCCGCAACTCCCCCAACAAACTGCAGCACGGCACCCTCACGAAATGTGCATCCAGTGAGCGTGATGTTGATGGGAAGACGCAGCGGCATACTGTTGAGAAAAAACGTCAGCACAGCATCCACGCCGCTGAATGCCACACCCACGTAGCAGTGGTGCGTCTTCCACATGTTCAGCGTGAGGTCCGTCAGCGTCTGGTTCACCACGCAGCTCCTGTCGCCGTCAACGGCTCTCTCCGCCACGGGCGGCGAAAAGGTGTCGGGCACCTCGAAAGGAAGACACGACGCGCCATGCCATCCCTCCTTGCAGCTGCACGAGCATGAGCCGCGATCCACCGACTCCGTCCCGGGCATGTAGCACGCCGCGTCATCGTTGCATGTGCCACACCTGAACACCACCACTTCCACCGGAAACGCGCCGTCGTACGACACCTCCTCGTCGCCCTGCAGGTTACACCCAACCACAAAACGCGCGGGTGAAGCCACGACAATGCTCGCTAAAAAAATATTGAAAAGAGGCAATCTGGAGCCCACCTGACGGTTGTGTGCAAGCACCACGGTGGTGCCGCTGCCCGACAGCCGAATTTTGTGCCAGAAATACGGAATAGCTAATACCGAAACTGCACCCACGCTGTTGCCCTTCACACGCCACTGCGCACCACCCTGGAGGGTCACAGAGCCAGACAAATGCAACAGCACGGAATTGAAAACCCTCGTGCTGCCAAAGAAGGTGCAGTCCACCACTCGCAGCAGTCCCGCGGAGCTCACGGTGGTACACCCAAAAACATGAACGCCATTGAACGCGCTCATCGTGTTGTTCTCCACGTCAATGTAGCCGCCGTTCCTCATGTCAACAGCGTAAAAATAAACAGATGATTCTACACCGTCATCATCCTTCGTTGTGCTCAGCGTATTTCCCTTCACAATGATCCCGCCACCATCAACGACAACAGCATCGGAGAAATAAACCGCGTACCTATTCCCCTCAATGTGGTTGTCAATTAGCAGCAGCGTCGACTTCGCACCGAGGGAGAATTCCGGAAAGGCAATAGCGTAGCTCAACGTCGACACAAGCGTACTGCCCACCACCAGTATCTGGGAGCTCGCGCCAAAATCACCCCTGAACTCCAACTCACCAGAATCCATCATCGAGGATGTCACGTTCACGTGCACGCGCGCAATACTCCCCTTGATCGACAGGCCCACGAGGACGCACTGCAGTAGCGTGATGTTGAGTGTATGTTGTGGTGCGTCAAAGCTCCACAGGTCCAGCACAATCGCGGCAGTGAAGGTCACGTTGACGAAGCACAGACCACGCACACCGGGATCAGTATATTCCACGGAGCTGATGCTGCCACCGTGCACGCAGCGAACCTCCGTGTCGTTCGCATCGGGGAGCGGGAGCGGCCCAAGGCCGTCCGGAACCGCAGCTGGCAGACAAGTGTCACCGTAGCCGCCAGCAGCGCACACACACTCACAGCCACTGATGCCGCTCGTCCTCGCTGGAAAGCACACGGCGTCCACCGTGCAAACGCCACAGTCCAGTACCGTCACGGGCGTCCCAATATTGAGGTCTTCTCCGTAATTCGTCACAGGGGAGCCCCTTAGCTCGTTGCACATGCCGTAGATGATCGGGCGCAAGTCGGATGGTGATGACCACTTGCTTGTCATAAGTACAATGGTTGACGAGTACGAGCCGTACGTGAAGTAGTTGTGTAGTATCGACCACACACTCCGATCGCGGAACGCCACGCCATTCACGTCGGCCACGTACACAACGTAGGCGGTGCGGAACTCGTTGTCGCGGTGCACCAGCCAGCTGCCGCCAGTCACGGTCAGCGTGTTTGCAATGAGCATGGCGAAGCCGAGACGGAAAGTGCTGAACACAATCTGCAGCACGCTGCCGCCATCCACCACAACGTCCTTGAAAACAAAAGCACCTTCGTAGTATTCTCTGCTCGGCGCACTCCACGAGCTGTTCTGTATGGAGAACACGGAGCCGCCGCTGACACGCAGGTCCGACGCAAGGGCGTACATCACGTGCGTCCGCGACAGGACAGCGCAGTTGTCCATGTAGAAGACGCTGGACAGGTTCGCGCCGAGGCCGCGCTCCACGAGGATCGCAGCGCACGATTCCCCGCCGCACACCAGCGTAGACCGCGTCATGACAAACCGCGTCGACAGAAGCCGGACGCCGTCCAGAACTAGTGCGGGGCCGTGCCGGGATCCCTCGTGGCCACGGGTAGTCTGCACGTACTGCGACCCGCCAACCGTCGCACGCAGCGTTGAGTTCGCCAGCAGCACACTCGAGTGCAGCGGCATCGCGCCATGCAGCACGATCGTGCCCTCCAGCGACGTCACATTCGTCATGTTGACGAGGGCGTGCGGCATCGGGCGCGCCGTGCTCTCGCTGAGGCCGCCAATCCGCAGCTGCGCACCGCCCTCAAGCACGCAGTGGCGCAGCGTCACGTTCAGCGCGTCAGCAAACGCATCCATCGAGCGCAGATCCACCGCCACAGTGATCGGCCCGCTGAAAACCACCGAGTCGAAGCACGCCGTCGCACGCACGCCGCCAACCGTCACGGACTCCGTCAGCGTCACGCCACCCATGCAGCCCGGCGCACCGCCACCACCACCGCCGGCCCTCGCAAGCGGCACGTCGAACGGCAGGCACGCCTCGCCCACGCCGCCGGCACGGCAGCTGCACACGCAGTCGGTGACCGACGCCGTCAGCGCATCGAAGCACGCCAGCGCAGCCGCACAGCCGTCGCACGGCACCACGCTCACGGAGGGCAGGCCGGCCAAGCGGTAGTCGCCGCTGCTCTGCAGCACCCGGCCGCCGACACGGTTGCACTGCACCCACACGGCGCCGCTCCTGATCGTCAGCCCGGAGACAAGCGTCGCGCCGGTGGCAGTGCAGCGCGCAATCGATACGGCGCCGCCGCTCAGCGTCACCCCCGACAGCGACGCCAAAGACGACGCCTCGCCCACCGCCCACACGTCGTGCAGGTCCAGCCACCCGCCGGCACCGACCGTCCCACCGTCGCAGCGCACCAGCGACGACTCAACAGATCCCTCGACGCCCACGAAGCGCAGCACTGAATCAAACACCGCAAGGCGCTCTCCAAGCACAACTCCGCCGCCGCTGCTCACGATAGACACGTTCGTCACGGAGAACACCGAGTGGCTCCGCAGACTGAGGCGCGACGAAGACGCCACACGCAACGCGGACGCGGTCGGACCGCCCGACGCCTCCAGCGACACGCCGTCAAGCACCACCGCGCTCGACAGCAGGTCCACGCCGCCGCCAACGTGCACCGCCGACCCGCCCGCGTGCAACGACCTCAGCACAGTGCTGCTCACACGCAGCTGCGTCTGCAACAGCGACGTCGCGTACAGCACAAGCGGCGATGCCACCGCGTCCGTCAGCCCGCTCACCTGGGAGTAGCGCATCGGCCCCGCCGTCACAATCGTCGAGTCGCGGACCGTCACGTTCGTGTGGGCCGGCAGGTTGTGCACAAACACAAGCGAGCAGTAGCTCCCAGACAGCCCGCTCACGCTCACCTCCAGGCTCTGGTCACTCGCCGGCTCGCTGCTGTGGCCCCGCACGTAGATCTGCGCACCGCCGTCGCACACGCAGTTCCTCAATTCAATGCGCAGCGCGCCGGGAAGCATCGCCGCAACGTCAAACACCACAGCCACACCGTTAGTGATGGACACGCCGTCCATCAGCACCGTGTCCACGGCGCGGCCAACCGTGATGGCTCTGTCCACCGTGCCGCCCCGCAGTCGCAACACCACCGCATGCGCCGCGGGCATCCACGCCGCCGCCACAACCAGCGCCAACACCACGAGCAGCGCCGCACGCACAGCCGCAATGGCCCTGCGCTGCACAC